AAAAAAAAAAAAAAAAAAAAAATTACATTTCACACTGCTATCAACCTAGCTACGTTTTAGATTTTTCAAATGTTAAACTTTTTCCTATACCTGGAAGAACACTTTCAATAAAAGGCTTTTTGCCCCCTTGTCGCTAACATGCGGCGTGTGATATTTTTCTTGCTGCATGATTTTGAACGTTTGTGTTCAGAGAACTGCAAAGTGCTTAAGTTTTAAGAGTAGGTGTCAAGTGTCAGGGAATGTCCGAAGCTTTTAAACTCATCGAGTACTTTAAAAGCGTTGGCCTCATTGAGATGTGGCACTTAAAGGTAAGTGTGGTAGAGAACTACTAAGTTGAATCATAATGATTTCCAACGCAGCTGGACTGCAATAAAGAGATGTTTCTCGACTTTATAGGTTGCCAACTTTAGTAAATTTCATCGATAACCTTTCGCTTTGTTGAAAGTAAGAAGGACAATAGTTGCCAGGTGAACTTAAGCTGGTCAAGACGAGCAAATTTTATGTGACAATTCTTATTTGCTCCTGTAGATGATAAAAGTTTCCCAGTTTTTAGGAGACAAATATACAGCGTTTGTTGAAAAGCTGGCGTGTTTGCTTTTATGTTACAAAGAAAGGTTGTCACCTACGAAAAGTTGCTCGTGTAGACCAGGCTTTACAGTGCACTTTATTTCCTCTTTTATATTATTCGTTCTCATGCACTTTCAGCTATACGTGAACTTGGAAGATCGACAAAGGAAAAAGGCAAAACTGAACGTACCTCAAGGTAAAAGTCAGCACTGCTCTCTTGTTTCAGTTTAGTTCTCAGAACAGCAAGGCACCCTCCTGTGTTAGGCAAGGTGCTCACGACAATATGAACATTTTTGGGAAGACTTGTCGGAAGCCATCTTAGTGAGCGACCATCATCTTGGTCGGATAGCTGATCCAAAGAGTCAAGGAACAGAACTGAGAAAAAATGGGATACTCCTTGTAGCTGATAATATTTAACCATTGGGTCACCAACACTCTCAAGGTGCCCTTAAGAAATTAGTCAGTAAACGTTCCTATTAAATAAAAGTGAAACTATTGGTTACCGATTGGTTTTTCCGCTGTGGCTCTTTGGAGAAGCAACCTAAATCTTGCTACCAGACGCTCATAGTTATCTGTAATGACAGCTGATGTATCATTCAGAGCGAGAGAAATCTGTCATAATGGAAAAGAACAAAAATACAAGATGAATTACAAGAAGAGAGAGAAGACAGAGCTATTTTATCTAAAATATGTAAAAATAGCAGGTCAGTTTTTAGCCTGCGAACTTGAGCTCTTAAACAATTAGATTATGAGCTTGAGATTTCTATCGCGTCAACTATCACGCATAGAAATCGAGAGGGAAAAATCTAATTGTTTTAGTCATGATAATGTACATCAACTAGTCGTTCAGAACTTTGTCTAAATCCTCTTCACAGAGACTTCGAAAACGCCAAGAAGCGTCCATCAATTTGTTAACAAGGGCACACTACTACGCTACTCTCTGTCTATCATAAGAATAGATAGTGAGTAGCGTAGCCAATCAAAGAGCGGCATTCGTGATAGAACGCTTTGCCTAGTAGATTTATACTAAATACTGATAGTTTTTGTAGCTATATCTACCGTTACCTGCTGACATAAATTCCTCAACATAGACCTCACATTGGACGAGAAAGGCGAAGTTCCAATGAATCTTATGAAATGAAATGGCCTACAAACGGAAATTTTAATACATAATTCATCAAAAACGAAATTATAAGAACACAGCAAGTTATTAGAGCTATACTTAGTGTAAAAGGGATCTAAATTTGTTGACTGAAAATGTCGTGTATACATGTAATCATATACCAGACAGAGATGTATTCCAAAAAGACTCGTAAGTCTAGAGTCACACATTTATTTCGAATTGTTTTTCTTAGTCCAGGGCAATAGCTAGTAACAGGCAAACAGAGGCACTTGCCTCAGTCATTTTTTTCGTTTTTTGTTGTCTATAGCCATAATAAACACCCTAGATAACTAGGCCAGAGAATGACCATGGACATTGCTTCAGTCGTAATTTGTTGCATGGGCATTGTCTCAGTCATAATTTGTTTCCTGGTTACGGCCGTGTAACTACCTTATAGAGCACTCTGGTCATTGAAAACGAACAACTGAAGTTCTCTACATTTCAAGTATTTACGATGTTTATTTTTTTCATTATAGGATGAAACGATTACCTTCCAGTGTCCACTCCACTCCAGTTTTCAATGGACGTAGTGAACACCTTTGCCAAAAGAGATGTTTTGCCGCATCCAGATATACCATGAACAATGAATGGCTAATAAACGAATGGTCAATGAGTAATAATGATGCTTCATGAGAATAAAAATCCAAGTTAAAAAAGAACCGAATATGAATAACCAATAGAATAACAAAGACGTGTAGATTAACAAAACGTTGAACCCGGAATTTCAGGTTAAAAAGAAAATATAAACTATACTTCGAACTTCTTCAAACATAGTGTCTAGTAATAAGACCCCAAAGAAAACGAGAATTTAAAAAGCATTATCAAGACGGAATACACTTTCAACAGCTTAGCTCTAAACACTGGACGTACAAATGTACAGAAAGACTACCAAACAGCTAGTATTATTGCATGCCTTTCTTAATCGTTTATGGCCAGAAGAGAAAACAACATAATAGCAAGGTGTGATCGGCACCCTTAGCTTGAGTGTCACTTTTCGACCAAAGGAAGTGTTAATTATGTTTCCACAAACCTTTTCACCGTTCTCCAGCTTTAGGTATGCTTCCATCTAAAGAGGTAAATCACAGAAGCATGTCAAGGGTCAGGAAATCACGAAATTATTAGAATGGCTGAGTTAACAAGATGTATCTGGGTGAATCAGCCCTAGGTCTTCAGGCCCAGCTAAGAGAGTGTAGCCGTACAGTAGTAGTACCTTTCGCAAAAGATGTTCCCTGCCAACGAATGCCTCCGTCCTTTTCTCTGCCATTGTTGCGTGATGAAGAACTTCAAGATATAGTGGGTCACTAATAACCCGATGCTTGGCCACAGCTGTAAGTTAAATCAAAGCAGATTTAACAGTGATGCTTGATAGAGATGAAGAAGTGCAGCAGCTCTCGTAAGCTTGTAATTCTTCTGCTTGTCGTCATAGTGTAGCAGTTGTTATTGTTTTGGAGCTAGGGGCATTGTTTCTGTTGTTTGTTCTATTTTCTTCTCAAAGGGTATCAGGCCATTCATGTGAGACCTTGCGAGCGCTGCCGCCCGACCCTGGAGTTGAGGCTCTTTAATTTGTACTTATGGCTTATCAAAATGATAAATATAAGAAGATTCAATGGAGTTTCTAGTCTGGTTTTGGATACGTTTTAGTATTTAGAGCTAATCATTGTTTATGTTGACTGTGTAAAGTCATAAAGAAGTAACTATCTAACCTTCTTGAATGCTATCCACCATTAACTGGCAAAACTTGTCACAGAATGTCTTTATGTCCTCTTTGTTCTGTTTCATATCGAGATGGCCATTCTCAGTGACGTGAAATTCAAGGCTGTATCTGGGAAACAAAACGTGTTACCCCGAACGTCTGTGCTCCAGAATAGATTTCATATCGCTGGAAAAAGGGACGTTATTTGTTGATTTCATTCTGTTCAACCAAGATCTAGCTGTTGTCTATACCACATGGTGCTGTTCAGTAAGCTGCTTGTAATAAAACAAGCGTTTTATCTGGACGTAGTTTACGATTGAGCTCTTAATCAAAAATAATCGAGAGAATGAATGTTACATGCTTTGGAAAGAATAACTGGCCAGGGGCGGATTTAGGGGAGGGGCCGAGGGGGCCACGGCACCCCCTTTTCTTTCTTGTATTTTCAAAGCGTTTTTGTAACCAACAACGCCAATCCGTCTAACCGTCATTCAATGAGGCTTTCCAGATTTGCAATCCGCATTCGGCCCCCTCTCTCTGAATTTTCTGGATCCGCCCCTGCTGGCAGCTAAAATGGACCAACGATTCGAGTGTTTAAGTGACCACTTCTTTTGGTTTTGTTTGTTTGATTTTTTGTTTTGGTTTTTGCAATGTAAATGTTCAAATTACACCAATNACGATTCGAGTGTTTAAGTGACCACTTCTTTTGGTTTTGTTTGTTTGATTTTTTGTTTTGGTTTTTGCAATGTAAATGTTCAAATTACACCAATGAAACTGCAGAGAAGTTCCTTGAATATGATTATGAAAAGCTTGGCAGATGACTGACAGATTTCGTTTCCAAGCACAAAATGCTTTCAAGATCGTTCATCAGGGAAATTTGGTGAAGCGTATCTCATATGAGCCCTATTCGAAGATTCCTTCTTCGGCTGAAACCTGTCGCAGCACATAACATGTAGGCTATGCATAAATTCCCGCGTTATGAAAGTTGAAATCAAATTAAGATTGGGTGAATCATGAATCCACTTACCGAGAGCACTTTTAGCACTCTATGAACCGAGAGAACACAATATGATATTCAACTGAACCCACAGCGGGCACAGAGGTTTTGATTAAAACATTTACAAGAAGTGACACATTTTAGTGTCGACCAGTGTTAGTTAAATCGTCATTGTACAAGTCGTTGTTTCACTATTCCCACCAAAAGAAACTTTTTATCCCAGACAGTTGATCTGCAACCCAAATATATGACATATATGACGTTATTGCATGCGCATGTACAGGTAAAATTGTCGGTTATCTTACCTACAGATGTTATTGCTTGGTATAAACCCTTGGCAGTGGTCTTTGAGCTTGTCTAGCAAGAGTTTCGAATCATCTCCATTTGCAATCTGAGATTTACGCCCACATTCGTCAACGTCCATAAAACGCTTCACAAAACCGTTGTTGTTTGGATCAACTTCTTCTAACCCTTTCAGGTTCCGAAGAAACAAAAACATGTAACTAGGGTCCATGTCCTCTCCTTTAATTCCAGTTGTGATTTCTTCTTCTGTCACTGATATCTTAAAATCCTCCTCGGTCATGTTGCAGACAGGAAAGGCCGTAAAATCGATCTGGCTTGCCGCCTTTTTCAAAGCCTCTCTCATAGTTACCAGAGTTTGCCACCATTGTTGTCTTTCTTGCTTCGCCTTCGTTTCGTCTGAGTAAACAACGGTCTTATAAGCGTGAGGAAGGAATGTTGAAACCGGCAGCAAGACGTATGCTGCGGGTACACTGTTTTCATCAAGTTTGTACCATTTTTCTAACAATTCGGAGGCATTTTTACTGCCACTGTGACTTTTGACGCTTCCCAGAAGCATTTCAAAGATTTCCTTGTCAATCTTGACAGGAATTGGTCTGTAGCCATACTTGTCACCAATGATGCAAACCATGTAAGGTCCTATGGACTCTTTCCTGAAAACAAACCACCATCAGTTTTCCATAAATGGGCATGGTAAATCGGCATGATGTGGATGAACACAAACTCAGGGGGAAAAAGTGTGTTCTTGTTG